AAAAAATTTTTTCTATATATATTTTATTATTTAAAAAGTAAATATTTAAAATTATTAGTGATTAAAAGAGATATTTGATAGATAAGTGATTATATGTATTTGATAGACAAAAATAAATTTTTTTAGATTCATGATGCATTTAAGTCATTATTAACATCAAAAATTAAGAATTTTATAGAAGTATTGAAAAAAAATAAAAGAAAATGGCTCGACAGCGGTGACTATTCTGTATACACCGGACAAGCAGGAATTGCATGTACATTATATCATTATGGAAAATATTATAATGATTCTGAGAATACTAATGTAATTATAAAATTTCAACATGCTTTTAATTTAAAATTAGATGTCATATTGATATGATAATTTTATAGATGGCAGCAGAAATATTACAAAGATGTGCTACAGAATTTAAAAGCCGACGTGAAGTCACATTTCTGACTGGAATTGTAGGTCCATTAGCATTAACAGCAGTTATGCTACATTCACAACAAAAGAGAGAACAAGCAGAACAATTAATTCTTAAGTAAGAACTTAATAATAGTAATTAAATTGCAAATGTGTTTTTGCAAAATGCAAAATCATAAATTTTTATTCTTTTAATATTTCTATACTAAAAAATTTTAGGTAAACTTTTACATTAGGGGATACTTCTTCGATAACCTTGACCTTGACATATGTTATGAAAGTGAAGGTACTGATCAACTTCCTTATAAATAATAAATTAATAAAACAGTCATTTTTTATAGTTTCTAAGATATTTAGAGTATAATTGGTAAATATCTTGTTTAGGGAGCCTCTTCCTCATGATCTTGACCTTGACATATGTTGTCAAGGTTATGAGCCTGAGTAATCTCCAACAGGTTTTAATCGTTATTTGTTAAAAAATTATTAAGAAGAAAAATTAAAAAAAATAACAGCTCTTTTCTATTGTATTATAAGAATAAAAATTCTTTGTTTTAAAATAGATTTCCTATTTTAAAAACAAAAATTCTTTGAAAATTTATTTTTTTATATTATTATATTATTAATTTACATTATTTTCTTATATAATTTTTGTTTTTATATAGTAACACATAGGGGCACATGCTTTGCATGGAAAGTCGTGCGTCTCGCAGCAGGGTGAGAATCGCTTCTAATACTTAATAAGGCCAATAATAGTACCAAAATACTGCTTTGAAATAACTCTGATTCTATATGTAATAAATGACATAAATTTGGCTGAAAAATACGTGCACATATTTATATCCACGCATCAAGTACACTTACAGACATGATTTTTATCTCATTTTAATTGTAAGAATCTATGTTTTTCCCAATATATACATTTTTTTTTATAACATCAATTTGTTTAACCAAAACAATTTTTAATTATGTAAGCGAGTTTCTTCCTGTAAAAAATACGCTGTAGCGTCTCTTTCATGACATGGTATTTATATTCCCTTCGTAATGTACTACAAAAATTACAAAGACATTACTGCGTCTCCTGATATGTATGTATATTATCCATTATATACAAGGTGTCATATATAGAAAAAATAATGAAATTTTGAAAATGAGTTTTATGTAAATATATCTCGAAAAACTATAAGAAACTGCCGATTAATTTATAAGGAAAAGTTGATCAGTACCTTTATAATATATGTTATAAAGATCAAAATCAAGGTTATCAAAAAGATAACCCCTAATATAAAGGTTTATTAAAATTCACACACATTTTATATATATTTAAATTATTTGTAAATACATTTCGATTACTACCTATATAAATACTGGGTCAATCTTCATAGTCCGTTCTTATTATAATACATTTTTATACCAACATTCATAATCAATTTCTTATATTCAAGACTGTTTTAAGTTCTATCTTGAGGTGTCATGAACCAATCAGAGGGCTGCATTAGCATCTTAAAATGTTATTTAAGATGGTTTTGAAATAAGAACTAACTATGAATATTGACCTAAGTAATGTTTTCAGATGCTAATACGGTTCAGTGATTAGTTCGTGACATCTTAAGGCTGCATTTAAGACTCATTTTATAAATTATTAAATTTAAATTGAATTTAAATTTTTATTTTTACAAAGAATTGAATATTGAATTTTAATTATTGTTGCTTTAATATTGAATAATAAACATATATTATAATATGCATTTTAATTATAAAATAATTCTAATCATTGACAATAATGAAAACAGTAAATATTAATATCAATTTGAAAATAATTTTATTATTTTTACTAGATTATATTATATTTTATTAATTTTTTTTATCTTTAAAAATGCTTTTTTATTTAAGAAATAAAATTAAAATTTATACATGTATTTATTTTGATAAATAATTACTTTATAGAAATACTGTTATACAAGTAAATAAAAACTGATTTGTTTATAGATTAAAATCTTTATCTACTTATGTTTTGGATAAACGTAGTGGTGTCCCTGATGAATTATTATACGGAAGAGCTGGATATTTATTTGGTTTACTTTATTTAAATTCAAATATACTTCCAGCTCCTATAGAAGCAGATCTTATCAAACAGGTAGGAATTTTATATATAAGAGGCATATGAATTGATTCTTATTAAAAAATACGAAATATTAACTTTATTCGCCATTAAAAAAGAAAATAAGATTCTCATTTATATTAAAATTATCTATAGGTTGTTTCTTGTATAATTAATTCTGGAATATCATATGCTACGTCAAATCGTAGCCAATCACCTTTAATGTATTCTTGGCATGATACAGAATATATTGGAGCTGCTCATGGATTAGCAGGCATATTGTATTTGCTCTTGCAGGTATGTTATATTTTGTGGAAAACGATACATGTTTGAATCTATTTATTATTTAAATTTCTTTATTGCTTGTTATCTTATTAATACTTCAAAACACAATTTTATTTTTATTTTCTCAATCTAAATTTTTTCTTTTTTTAGGCACGACAATATTTAACGCAGGTCCAGATCGATGATTACATTAAACCATCTCTGTATTATCTCCAAAAATTGCAATTTTCTTCTGGAAATTTTCCTTCTTCAATTGGCAATTTTTCTGATAAATTAGTACATTGGTGTCATGGAGCACCTGGAATGTGTGCATTATTTTGTTTGGCTTATAAGGTATAAATTTTATATAATATTTATTAATTTAGTAAAAGTATTTAAATAAAAACTCCATTTAGTCAAAGAAGCTAGTTTATAGATATTTTCGTGTTTTGATACGTTAAATGCATTTTGTCTGTAAACTTCAATGATTGATTTCATCATATTGCAATTCACTTTATCAAGAGAGAAGTTACCTGATACTAATTCTAAGTCTTATATACTTTTTAAGAAGTTTCCTTTGTACGCTCAGCGATAACGGTTAGTATTAGATTGCTTCTTGCCCTGATGAAGTAAAATGTTTACGAAGCGTTGGCATTTAATGATATATATCAAGACAAATAACCTGAAAACTACTTCTTTGAAGAAAATATCCGTGGAAGTCTCTAAAATAATATCCATTCATTTTGTTATTGGTATAATTATAGGTGTTTGAAGACAATACATTTCTAGAGACTGCAATACAATGTGGAGAAGTAACATGGGAACGAGGACTACTAAAAAAAGGATATAGTATTTGTCATGGTGTTGCTGGAAATGGTTATACTTTTATACATTTATTTCAGCATACAAAGGTTTGATTTTAATTCTTGAATATTTATGAATATACAAATATTTGATAACGAATTTGATAACGAAGTTTGCATACTGAATACAAACTTTATTGGTGCCACACATTTGATTTGTAATGTCTTCTATCTTACAAGGGAACACAATCAAATGGATCTCTCTGATTTAAATGAACTTTTAGTATGTTGTTTTATGGACAAAAATAGGAAACATATATTTTTTTATATATGCTGAGTCGCATGTTAAGAGGATGAAATCGTTTTTTTTTCTTTCAGATTGAATATCAAAACTGTAAGAGATAGAAAAAAAATTGCACAATGAAAATTTTTTTCTATCTACACTTTCGATGATATTCAATCTGAAAGAAAAAAAAAACGATTTCATCCCCTTTACGATTCAGCACATATAAAAAATACGTTCATAGAACAACATATTAAAAGCTCATTTAAATCTGATTCACTTGGTTATGTTCCCTTGTTAATATTAAAAGATTTTCATTTAGTTTTTTAGTTAGTACTATTACATCTATTTTAGTTTCGTACTATTACATCTCACAATCAATAAACAAGAATGAATTAAAATGGATCGAAACTTTAATTCATTTGATCCGAATGCATATTTTAATAGCATTCCATTTTTGTAATAATGATAAATAATTAACTATATTGTGATAAAAATAAAAAATAACTTGTCTCCTGGACAAGTCGATAAAGAAATTCGCAAATGAAAATCACGGTATCAGCTGATTCCTTACGGAACACAGCTATAGGTTTGTTTTTTGTGCCTGAATAAGGTTGTGGTCAAAGTCTCGCTACAAATTTTGAAGTGTTTGATGGATCAATGAGAAGAAAGAATTTTATAAACTGCCCAATTAAAAAACACTTCAAAACATTTGCAACATCGCGTTGACCATACCCTTAGTGTACACTTTTGGAATTTAAAGTGAGATAGGTATACGTTTGATACTTGAAAGTGAGAACGAGAGTTGTAGTGCAGTTCAGTGCAAGAACAGAAAACAGACTATGGGTATGATCAACGCGATGCTGCAAACACTTTAAAGCGTTTTTTAATTGATTAGTTTGTAAAATTCTTTCTTCTAATTGATCAAATACTTCAAAGCATTTGTAGCGAGACTTTGACTACAGCCTATGTTAGTTACAGCGCTATTAATGTTGTAACTAAAAATAATATTTTCTACACAGGGCATCAATATAAAATTAGAGCATTTTTATCGACTTCACTATGAGATTTCAATTAATTCTACATTTAAAGTATCAAATATTTTTATTAGCAAAAAATTTGATAATATATTTCATATCGATGCCTAAGCTATAGAAGATGCTGTATCGAAAAAAACATTTGAAGAAAAGTCTATGTCAAGAATGGATTAAAAGCGATTTATTTTGCGTAAGACGTGAAGATCTATGTCAGAAGTATATGAAATATGGTTATATTCATGATGTAAGAATATAAAATATATCATTGCGCACAATGGCGATAGCAATATTAGAAACAATCAATCAAATTTTGCACTTTCCTGCATATAAGCGCATGTTGGACTAGCTAATAAAATTTTGGCCACAATTTACTCTCCTACTGCGCATCCTCGGGAATAATACATCTTGAGTGCTTTCCAGCAAGGACACAGTCAGTTTGCCTATGTTAAACAAGGATGAAATGATTCACTGTGTCTGACTATTTCCTTTCTGGAAAGCACTTTTGTCTTCTTACCTGGTTGTATCGAGAAAATAAAAAGAACGATTCAAGTCGCATGAAATTAATGAAGGATTTATGCACAATATTCATAAATTACACAAACATAAATTACACAAATTTAGTTGCGAAAAATTAAACAATATGAATAAATGAATGCGCGAAATAAGATTAAAAATCAAGACAATTCCCATCTCAGTCATACTACTATATATAAAATTACTATATAAAATTATTATATAAAATTTATGAGAAGAAAATATATTGCGCTATAATCTCTTCTTTAATTTCATGCAACTTGAACTATTCTTCTCGCTTTTTCGATATATAAATCGTACTTTGTATGCGTTCCGACATGCACTTGTCTTATGCGTCTTATAAATAAACCGCTTTTCATTCATTTCTTGATATAGACCTTTCTTCATATTTTTCTCCATATATATATATA